GTCATAGCTTTCCCCAGTGAAACCTTCAGAATGGTTATTCTTTGAGGCTGCTTAAGCTTTGTGACACACTTCTCAGCACCTTCATGATTTTGTCTTCTATACAAATATTTGATCCATTTACAGTGGTACCTCAGGTTACAAATGCTTCGGGCTACAAACTCCGCTAAACCGGAAGTTTGGGGTTGCGAACTTTGCCCCAGGATGAGAACGGAAATCGCATGCCAGCGGCACAGCAGCAGCAGGAGGCCCCATTAGCGAAAGAGCACCTCAGGCTAAGAACAGTTTGGGGTTAAGAACAGACCTCCAGAATGAATTAAGTTCGTAACCTGAGGTACCACTGTAGTCCACAATTGTCCACTATACTTTGACTGGCAGTGGCTATTCCAATACTTCAGGCATCTTTCCCATCTTTCAGTTGGAATTGCTGTGGATTGAACCTTCTGCCTGAAAAACCTGTGCTCTGCCACTGAGATATGGTTGAAGAAATGAAGCTATCTTAAACTGCACCAAACCATTGTTATCTCTTCAATCCTAAAAAAGCTTAACAACATCAATCCTAAAAAAAGAAAAGAAAGGAAAAAAAGCTTTGGTTGGCCCTTTGGTCGGCCCTCGTGGCCCTCCACGTCATCAAATCTGGCCCTCTTTGAAAAAAGTTTGGACACCACTGATCTAGGTTGTTTGTCTCTTTGGCAGCACCCCTTTTGTCTGGGCCCTTCTCCCGGCTGTTGCCTGAGACTGTCCACGCAGAGCATGTGCTTTCAGTGTGTCATGTAACCCAGGTCTCCCTCATTGCCCTAAGAGAACGGTGCCCTCTTGTCTGCCTGCTGCTAGATGTGCAGTTCATTGATGTTTTTTGGCTCTTGAGTTTCAGTCAGTGTTCCCCAATTCTTGCCTTTCTTCTGTTTCCAGTACATGTTAAAAGAAGATGAAATGTTCAAAGACTTTGCTACTTGCTCCCCTAGTGCCAGCATAACTGATGAGGATTCAAATGTGTGACAGTGTCGGCGCTGGATGCTTCTGCTTTCTGATAGTCCTCAGAGTGCCACTGTTAGATGCAATGGAGACACCACATCATGTAACTGAAGGTCGCTTTTGCTTCTGTTTGTTAGAAGTGAAATTTTCCTGGGAGACAATAAGAAGAGTTGCCAATTCTAAAGTTGCCATACGATCCACACCAGTGGGGGAAATATGTATATTTTCCTCCTGTGTATATTTTTTCTCTTGTGTTGAAACTTGTGACATGTTTCAAGTATCATATTTAATACGACTCTGCTGCTGTAATGTTCCTTCACAGAGCTGTGCCATATCATATATCTGTATTTCTCTTAGTGTTTTTTTTAAAAAAGAAATATAGGTGCTGGTACGTCCCATGCCCCCTCTCCCCCGCCACTTGCCCCCCCCCCCACTCTCTCCCTTCCTCCTCGGCCAAGGCCTCTTCCCAAGGCTGGAGCCGGAGCGCCTTCTAGGAAGGTGCTTCCCAATTGTAAAAAGGTTGTGCCAAAGCACCTCTACTCTGGGGCGACCTTTTTATGTTCGTCAGGCACCTTCCTGGAAGGCATTTTGGCGATTGTAAGCATTGTGCCAAAGCACCTCCAGGAGCCCATGCCGGCAGCCTCTGGAGGAGGTGGTGGAGAAGGAAGCGGCAAAGGTGTGTGGGGGGGAGCAAGCGGATGGGGGGGCAAGCGGCGATGGCGAGGTGGTGGCAGGGGGAAAGAGGAGGCTGTGCAGCAGATGGGCACGTGCCGCCTTAAAGAAAGCTCTGTTCATACTTTTCTTCAAGTAGTACAAGAAGAAAAGAAAACATTCAACTAGAGACCTCTGGAATTGGCATCCATTGTATATATTTCAGCAGGGCAAAAAACTAATCCTGGAAATCCTGGTTTCCCGTTTGAACAAATTGCTCAAAAGTAAATAACTAGAGTATTCACTGGTGGCTAAACCAATGCTCATATAATCCACAAAATCAGAATCATCTTGTCTTATTTTTATACAATTTTTATTAAAAGAAAAAAAATGTATTGAGTACATACAAATCAGAATTTTATATTGTAGTGTAAGTTGATTACTTTTTTTTTTTAAGAGAGGAATTCCAGTTTGAAAACCAGCTGGTTACTGGAGAAGTCAGACTGATCTTATAAATGACTTGTGCCTCCCCACCCCCCAAGTGATGCCTGCATTCTTACATTAGGAATGAGTTATAAAAATTGAGATTTTTTTCATCATTAAGAAAAATCTCTGAGCTGTCCCTTTTCCAGCATTAAAATAGGATTTTAATAACATTTTAAAATTTTGAGACTGAGGAACAGCCTTTGGAAAGATCCATTTTCTCTTTCTCACTTGATGCAATGGAAGTGTTCTTTAAATTTATACCAAAAGGAGCATTAGTGAATTCACTTTATTTTACAGTATTGAATTCAGATATGGAATCTTGCCTTTTAAGTATATTTGACCATAATATAACATATTGACAGATATTTATATAGTACTTGGTTTTTTGTAAAGCACAACTTGTATTGACTTTTTAAAAACTTGTAAAATTCAGATTAGCCAGTCAAAAAATGGTTGCTGATGCTTTCAGCAGAATACACCTGACTCTTGTGTTGTGTGTGTGAGTGTCTCTCTCTTTCCAGTTCACCATCACCCTGAAATAGTTACGACTAATTTAGTAACTGCATAAAATGATGATGTGGCAAACATTCGGAGATGTTGTCTGACATCTACAATGTAAGCAATTCTTTTCAAATTTAGTACTTCAAAAGTTTGCAGGAGTTTTAAAGTTGGGTGTTTGGTGTGTGCTCAGCTATTATGAGCTGTTCTTGAAAACTGTACACCTATATATAGCTGAATGTGCAGATTGGCCTTGCCTGCTTCCTGACATGCTAGCTTTCTGCTTGCAAGGAATCTTTTAAAAAACAACCACCATGGGGGGCTTTCAAGCAAGTGATTGTATCATAAAATAGAACCCTCTATCATGTAATTTATTTGCATGTATAGACTGGCCCTCAGTTTGATTTCATAAACCAGTGCTGATCCTTGGAAGTATGCACTTTTTCACACACATTTATTTACAGTTGTCAAAAATTTTATCAGATTGTGGTATCTGTTTAATCCAAAGAGATTTGCCAATACAGTATATACAGGTGTGGACTGCTTGTCCTTAATAACATGGACTCCACAAATTTGTTCATGGCCACCTTGGTGTCTGGGCTCTTTTGAATAAATGCAGATAGCATGCCTGGTAGAACAATTACTTTGTCATTAATTGTGAATAAATGTATTTATGAATTAAGGAGATCACCTGCCAGCAGCCTCACATTTGTATAAAAAACACTGCAAACCTTGTATAATGGCACACACTGGTTGCAATAAAATACAAGGGGTAAAATTGTGACTAGAGAATCAAAGAAGGGCGAGTGCAAATGCACAAACATTAAGTGAATTAAACACTAACTTGCACATATGAGCAACATCAACTTCTCATTTCTTAATGCTGATGTAAATGGAAGTTGGATGAACATCATCATCATCATCATCATCATTTTGCTGGTTAGAAGAATATTCTTTTATTATTTCTACGGGATTGAGGGAGGGAAGAATAATATAAAACACTCATGATTCAGCCAAGCAGTTAGCATAAATGGGTGCTATAAATGATATTTTATTTGGATGTGTGTGTACAAAGTAGTCAGCATAAACATATGTATTGCCATGCTAGATAAATAAATACCTGTTGAGAGAAGTAAAAAAGATTCTGGAATATAATCTTTTCTTTGCAAAAGTTATATACAAGGTTTTCAATAATCCCTTTTTGCCCTTAACTGTAAAGATCAGCCTTTTGACGTTTTTATGCAGCACAAAGCTTCCTCAAGCTTTCTCTTGTCGAGACCCCCAAGAAGTTATGTGCAACTGACCCTTTCTGATAATTTCATTGACGGTGCAAATCAGCAAACATTCAGTGGAACGCTCACATTGAACACTAACTAGAGAAATATTTGCTAACAGAGACCTCTGTGCCTGTGAAAGTTGTGTAGATCTGGGCCAGGAAATCAATATGTGGGGTGCAGAAGCCCTCTTTGAAATCTTATATATTGCTTAGACAGGAGCCTCAATTTAAAAAAGCTTAGGTTGTGGAAGAGCAATGGCAAATCACTTGTGGATGGTCCAGTGCTATCTTAACCCATTCATTCAGTGTATTTGTCCACTGGTTATCATTGGCTGGTGTTTATAACATGCTCTAGCAAGCTGCTTTAACTAGCTGGTGATGTCTCAGTTGCTTCCTTTTAAGCTTCCTCATTTCCATTTTATTTCAATGGGTTTGTTTGAATAAAAAAAGTCCAGTTTTCCATAGCATGGGTTGTTTGGCAGGAGGGGTGCACTTCCACGATTATGTAAACAAGGCCTGTGTGGCCATGGTGTGTTGTGAGTTACACCACAGGAAAGGACACTTACTGTGGGGAAATGACTAGAACATGGATGGGTAACAAGTGCACTAGTCCTGCATCATGCATCACATAGCGATTGTGCCGTTGTTGGTTTGTTACTAACAGGAATAGGTATAGTGAAGCTAAGTAATGAATTTATCTGATGCAAGTACCTCTTTAGATAACGGCTTTTGTTCATCCTGCCCCTGTACATGCCACCAGATCAGTTCTGAGGGTCCCCGCCCCCAACCCTCTGGACCAGATCATGGGGGAGGGGAGAGTAGAGGGAGGGGAAATTCCTGTTGCACAAGTGGAAGTCTTTGCCTGTACAGGGCAAATTTGTTGGATACAACACTTAAATAGTCATTAACTCTTTTTACACCCTTAGGCTTCTTCTTGTTGTTAGGCTAAATATGTTTGTTCATTTTGTATCTTCCTTTTCATAAAAGTTTTTAAAAATAGACGTGCACACACAGAAACATGTAATAAGTTGTTGTGGTAAGGGAGCAGTGGGGATTCAGCTGCATATTTTGTGTCATCTGTTTTTGCTAGCATAAAATAAGCAACATCACAGGTGTGGATAGTTCAGCCATATTGGATTTATTGTGTATACTGTGTGTTGCATAGCCGGGACATTAGTTTCTGATTCATCTTATGGTAGCCCAATCATTCTCAGAATTGCTATGGACTGAAGCAAAGGTCATGGAATTGTTTGTCTGAAACAGTAGAAATTGGCAGACGTCAGTGTAGTAGTTTTTAACTCAGATGTTTCTTGCCACCCTAGTTTTGAAATCTTCCAAAAGGAAGTCCAACTGATTTCTCGGGGTTTACACCCAAGTAACTGTGTAAAATTGCAAGCAATAAACCTTTAAATAACTTATGGTGATCTTAAGCGTTCTGGTTTGAATAAAGCATTGTGTGTCTGACGGGCCAGCCCAATGAAATGGAACTACCCTCACAACAGAAAAGTGGGTGGCTGCTTTGAAACATTCATATTCTTCCACCCTCCCTAGTTTGGACTTTTAAACACTAGGGTATGGTAAATTTGCCACTGCCAATGTTAGCAGCAAAGGGAATGGAAAATGCATAAAGCACAAAGGAAGTATTGGCACTTCAGAAATGAAAATGACCCAGCCCATTCAACTGCTTTCTGTTAGCTGAGGTGGAGCAGGGGACGCCCAGTTTTGTGCTGGCACTCAGGAAGTTGTGACTAATTTGCATGGCAAGGTTTTGTGTCTAGTGAATTTTCTGCTGTAAAACAATGGGGAAATACCACTTATATGTTAGCCTGGAAAAATATACTACTTTGAGGGCATCTTGAATTAAAGCTCCACCCTTGACAAGAAGATGGGCCAAAAAGTATCACAGGAAAGAAACCAAGAGAATAAGGCTGATGTCCTGGTTATATGAGATGTTTTTAGCCAAGAAGGGGTCTATGCGTCTCAAAAGCTAAAAGAGTATCTTGGCTTTGAAGATCCACAAAGCAAATCCCACCTAGCCACAGATACCCTAAATGAAATTTTTCTGGTAAACTTGTGTGTGCACTCTACTAACATCTTTCAGTGATAATTAACAGAGCCTGCTTGTTAAGATGGAACAGAGTAGCCATGGTGTATGTCTTAAGTGAAGGGAGGGGCCTTGGTGTGGAGCTGATGTTGTTAGAAACTGTTGTTGTTTAGTTGTGTCCGACTCTTCGTGACCCCCTGGACCAGAGCACGCCAGGCACTCCTGTCTTCCACTGCCTCCTGCAGTTTGGTCAAACTCATGTTTGTGGCTTCGAGAACACTGTCCAACCATCTCGTCCTCTGTCGTCCCCTTCTCCTTGTGCCCTCAGTCTTTCCCAACATCAGGGTCTTTTCCAGGGAGTCTTCTCTTCTCATGAGGTGGCCAAAGTCTTGGAGCCTCAGCTTCAGGATCTGTCCTTCCAGTGAGCACTCAGGGCTGATTTCCTTAAGAATGGATAGGTTTGATCATCTTGTGGGATCCCTAATTCCCCTTTTGCTCTGCGATGCCTCTTCCCCAGTTCAGCTCCAGATGTAAAGGAGAGGTATCCATTTAATGATATGTCATCCCTGGTCCAGGTTTCCTGTATCAGTAAGATATGATACTGTGATAGAAAATCAGTGGAACAGGTGTTCCTGGTAAATGCAGCCCATCTGGCTACAGTCCAGGTTAGGGGGTAACTTTATGGTGGCCTGTTGGATGTCCACCCCTTTCGCTCACGAGGTGGTTGGGGGGCTGTTAATTCCACCAAGGCCACAGGACAGTTCTTGGAAATTCCTTGCATATGGCAAACCTCTGACAGCCTCTTTTTAAATACTCCAGGTGTCTGATTTACCATGGGCATGCAGGACTAATGAAATGGTTTAATCCCCTCATTCGTTTTCTTCATAGTTGACACTTGTGAAGCATGAGGGTTTAAAAAAGCACACCTCAAAACTACTTTTGTTTATGTTCCTTTTTTACATAACAAACCTTGTGTGATGTGTGTTTTATAACTGCTCTGTGGCTTCTTATATGCTTTTTTATTTGTATACAAAGAACTGGGACTGAGAAAATGATGATCTGCTCCCTGCAAATTTTGATTTTGGTTTCATCATCCTATTGCATGTAAGGCATGCTGCAACAGGCAAGACAGTTTCAATCCTGTTGTCAGGTTTCCTCTCCGGTTAAGCCAAATCATGGTGCAAGTCAGCAGCTGCACACAGTAATAGGCCAAATTAATATATAAATGGCAGCTGTTAAGCTGTACTGCTTACCTAGAAATATCAGATGACCAGGAAGAGCCATTTTTAGCTAGCCTGGTGCACACTGGCAAAACATTTCCTCTGCTCTAAAGGCTATAAAAAGGGGGAGGTGGGAGTAGGAAATGGCTCTTGCTTGACTCAGCTGATCCTGCCATTATCCCTGCAGGCAGACGGAGGAGTGAATATAGGAGCTGTTAATTTTGTTGCGAATGGAATTTGTGTCCCCTTGTTGGGAACTTCTTAGTCATGTACACGTGGTCTAAAGGGTATTGTAGCTATCTGCAAGATGGGGCAAGGACCACAGGCAAGAGGCTGCCAGACCAGACATTTTCCAATTTATAAATACACCCAGTCCCCATTGCGTGGAAGAGCATGTTTTTTAAGGTAGGATTTTTGGTACCTCAACTCCCATTCATCATGTATCTATCAAAGGGAGGGTGTGTGAATCAGAACCCCCTGGAACAGAAATATGGACTGACAGATGGACTGACTGCTTATAGTTGGACAGACTGGACAGAGTTAAGTAACTTGTTCTTACCCCCCACCCCCATGATCTAGCTAGTAGTGATACAGAGGTAATCACATTGGCGTACTTTGGAGTAGTTAAGGATTAAGAAAATGTGCTTGAAAGAGCTTTAAATAATTGAAATAGAATAATTGCCTTCTGAGTAGCTCCATTTGGTCTCCAATGCCTGCTGTTAATTATACTGCAGAAAGGTCTGTTCATCTGACTTGCTGTTTATTAGGTCAACCAAGGTCTGTGCAAGCTTTGAATTCTCTAGAGCTTTTCATTAGTGTGGTTCACATGCAACCAACCTTGGTCTCTCCTGCTGTTGCTGAATTAATCTCCCATCATTACAGTATTAATATGTTTGACTTCTTGACTTAGCTTGGTTGGTAGAGCATGGGACTCTTAAATCTCAGGGACATGAACTCGATGCCTTGCCAGGGGTTGGACTAGATGACCCCCATGGTCCCTTCCAACTCTTCTATTATTTTATCTTGCTGGCTCTGCTGGATACAGTGCCATTTCAACTGTTTCCCCAGAAATAGGAAACCCAGGAGGAAACCCAGCCAGATGGGCGGGGTAGAAATAATAAATTATTATTATTGTTTTGTGTTCTCTTTTGTGAGCCATGTCAGAGAACATTTATTTCACCTTTGGTTTTTTGGTTTTTTTTTAAAAATTAGTCCAACATTAAGGTAAGACGACATACATGAAATCAGTAAATGATAAGCAAAAAAAGTTTTATTTCTACCATGTCGCAGTTGGAAAATTTAATAGCTGAACAGGTAGGATGTGTCCTACAGAACAGTTTGTGTGAGGCGAGCCAGAGCTGTTCAACACCTCAAATAATACATTTATTAAAAAGTTAAGGTTCCTTTTGCCCACAGTGATATACAAAAATATTAAGCAAAAAGATAGTTACATGGACTTTGCTTATTTTCTGCCGCAAGAGTTGTTTCAGTCAATGAATTTAGCACACACAGAAGTAAAACCATTCTAGTGTTTTGTTCTATCTTCTTCAGCCTCTTGCTCTTCCACTAGCAGGTCCTAAGTTGTGCACACCTGACTAGCATTCCATCAGGCTGCAACCCCTCCCACTCCCTTCTCAAAAGACTTCAGCAAATATATGTAGTGGCTTACTTTTGTTCCTCAAAACACTCCCAATAAGGGCAAGTATGGTACTGCCTCGCAGGAGTCCTGGAATTGATCAACTGAACCCACAGGATGCTTCAGGGCAAGATACAGAAGAGCCTTAGAATCAGCATACAGGACAGGAGAGAAGCATGTTCAGACTCCGGAGCCTGCTCTCTCTAGGTGGATGGAGAAACCACTCATTACACAGGCATAGGGAGGGGTGCTAGGCTGCAGTTCTAGTTTTAATGAGTCTGCCAAAAGAGTTTTCCCTTCATTTCAATGTGGCTTTTTATCCCAATGTCCCAGTGCAGATCAAAAAAAGGACGTCTGGAAGAGACTAGAACTTACTCATTTGGGAATGCAAGACCTCATCACACACACATCTTCATACACAGTGGAATTAATTTTGGGGGGAATCTGGCCACAGAATTTTAATTTATTTAACAACGCTATTTAGCAACGTATAAAAAGATCGATATAAAAAGATTAGTTAAAATGCACACGATACCTCTGCAGTTAATAGGTATTACCCACATCTCTCAGGAATTTGTAGAAGTCTTCTTCTGGCAGTTGTAAAGCTTACAGTTTAAGAAGATATATACGACACACACTTAGAGCTTTAAGTAATTGTTCGATGTCCCACAGCATTCCAAAGGTGACCGACATCCCAAAAACAATTACAACTGAAATACCATTTTAAAAAAAATCAGTGGGACTTATTTCCACGGAAATGTGTTTAGCACTGGGCTGTTTTACACACTTCACTACTAAAGAAGGTTGGAAGCATTTTAAGGAACACTTGTGTACAAAGCTTTACTTGGGAATGATTAGCAAGAGAAACTTAAGGAAGACATTGCTCTGTAGTGAGACAATAAATCAGTTGTGTGTTCTCAATATACAGAGGTTTCTAATGTATTTTCATTAACTAAGCAACACTCCCCCCCCCCCCCGCCCCCAAACTGGCTAAACCACCAATCTTCAAATAAAGGCAATAATGAAATTTCAATTATTGATCAGTGTGTATTTAATACAGCTATGCTTAAACTGCTCATTGTATAGCTTCGTGACAAGAAAACTCTTCCTTCACATAATAAGCGTGCTTGACAGTTGCATATCACGCACGCATGCTGTATCAGTAAACTCTTTGGTGATGCAAGAGGCCGGCTACATTTTGCCTATCTATTGTGAAAGAGTTAATCCAGTGGCCTTACAACAGATTTGTTAAGCATAGCGAAGCTAAAGATACCATATACAACACAGATATCCATTACAGAATTTTCAGCGTGTCACTAATAAGAAGACACCAAACTTGTATAGAGAGTTTGGCAGTCTCTCTGAATGCAGCTTCACACCTCTAGGCCCCAGGCACTTTTTCTGCCTTGTTCCCTGCTGTTCCCTGCACTTCCATCCATTGTTTCCCCCACTTACACATTCTGATTTTATCGTGCCTCCATTCCCCTTTAGTACGCAAATCTCATCTCTTTGGAATATCCCAATTTATCCAGATTGGGAATGCAAGCATACTGAATCATTGGAGGGGGGCCACACATCAGGATGAGAACGTCGTCTTGCGGCGGGGGCATGTGGTCCCTGATCATGTCTTCGTTCACAAATCCTTGGCTGTAATCCCAACCTAATTAGGAAAGACCACAATCCAAGTTATCTGTTAAAAATGAGACACTGTAGTATCTACAGACACCAAAGAAAATAAATGTATATATACATTTTGTATTCATGGATTTTTATTCTGCTGTCAAAAAAGAAGAATCTTCAAGGTGATTAAAAATCAAATACACTAAAACAACAAGAATTAGACGGTAAGAACAAATACAATGCTTAAATGCCATTAAAAGCCTAAAAGGGCAAACTTTGTCTAGTTCCTAAAATAACAAATAAGGAATCAGGTGAGCACACAGACGGAGGAAATCCTGTGCCCCAGCGAAGAGGCCCTTTCTGTTGTTACTACCAACCTAATCTACCAAGGGAGGGCACACCAGAGAAGGGCTTCTGATGAAGATTTTAATTCCCAGACAAAGTCAATGCGGAGAAAATCCTATGCTGGTGCTGAAGAACAGAATGGCTGATTCACACACGACACTGAGTTAAGCCAAGGTTTAACTGTTGTCTGAACCAGGAGTCATGAGTAAGCTCTCTCCTCACTAGTCAATATTGGTTCTTGTCTCAGTAGGAGCAAAGTAGTGAGCCATAGTTTGGGCTCACTGTATTTTGTGAACCAGTTGATAGTGAGCAAGTGTGAATGAGTCCAACACTGCAGACAGAAATTTCATTTTACCCAAAACCCATTTCTAATGAGCCTCTTCACATATTCAGGAGTCATTGTGCTAATGCATGAAGTTATTGTCAACTAACTTTAAAAAGGTCGTTAGTCACAAACATTGACTCATCTCTATTACATCATGAATTTCCAATCGTCTTCAAGTGGTGCAATGGATCAGTGCAATGGGTCTGTTAACCAGAAGGTTGGTGGTTCAAGTCCACCCAGGGACAGCTGTGGGCAGGATTCCTGCATTGCAGAAGCTTGGACTAGATGACCCTCTGGGTCCCTGCCAGCTTACAATTCTGTGATTACAGTTGGAAGACATTTTCCACAAAAGTCTCTTTCCCCCCCGGCATTTGTCGCAGCAAACTGGAGTTTTCTTGCATGCACTCAACACGGAGCCACCACCAATCCTGGCTCACTTAACAGGTGTACTTGTACAATACATAAATTTGCAAAGATACAAACATATTTTTAGATGGACAACTAAGATGATAATAACCATAATAGAATAAGGGACTTACTTTCAGGTGCTCTATCCAACGTGTACCACAGTTTAAAACGGTTTGAATGTTGAGCCTGCACTTCCTCAAGTTCTGGGCGTAGCAGGATGTCATTCTCAGTCTGTCCAAGAAAAAAAAGGAGCAACGGGGGTGTTTTTTTGTAGCTCTGTGCTGTCCACTGTACAAACTTTTTTAAAAGACTAGGTAAAAGCCACTCCCAAACCAGTAAATGAAGAGGGAAGTACAGTAACAGGCGTAAATTAGAAAGCTGTCATCTCACCGCACTTTTCCATGAGGCTATGGCTTGAGGTCTGACTGGACTCTTGGTAGCAAGGGATAACAAAACAGGTCTAGCTGTGATGCATGCCATCAACTTTGATATCATGGTTTGATAATGCCAGAAGTCGGAAGAAATTATATAGTGATGTTCCACCCTGCCCATAACCCTCTACTTTCTCAAAGCACCATAAGGGACACTTCTTCAGGTTTCATCTGTTAAGACTCTTGACACACCAGACACAACGCAGCTCCAGGCAGGCCTTGGCTTCTGCCTGGTGGGCTCCCTTCAGCTTGGGGCGTTGTGACTTGGACAGGCCTCATCTAGCCAGCCAGAAGGAATTCAGGGAAGGCTAATGATGACAAGTCATTCTGAGGGGACAGGAACTCCTTACAGAAAAGAAGCATAAATATCACATGGCTTCTTCCCATCCCAGCATCAGTATCTTTTGCAGCTAGGCAACACTGAAGAAACCACATCAGTTGCTTATCAATATTATATAGATGTGCACATCTGTATACAGTACGTGTGTATTTTGTAGAGCTGGAAAAAGAGCAACCCAAATGATCAAGTGACTAGAGCAACTGCCTTATGAAAGAGAGCAATATTACCCATCCAAAGGAATTTGGCACAAAACAAAAGGCTATATTTAGGGTTGCAAGGAAAGATTCATCTGCACCTGTTGTTGCTGGGAGAAGACACCTATTTCTGGATGGGATTATCTCAAGGCAGATGCCACAATGGAGGGTAAATAATGCAGAAGGAATCTTGGGAGGTACAGAAGCATGTTACTAAAAATCAATGAAGGTTACGTTACAGGATTAAAATTGGTAAATCACCCTGTGGAGAAAACTAAATTCAGATAAATTTATTGGGGGTAGGCTGCAATTTAAGGGCACACTTACTTAGTGTTGGGGCTACTTTTATTTTGGTGTAAAAAAGATTTAAGATGGACTAACAACGCATGTAGCTTGATATATCATCCCAATACAGACGTCAAGCACAACTGAGTATGAAAACACCACAAATCACAGCTAGATTCAGTCTCTTCACATCAGCAAGGATACAAAAGATTCCAAGATCTAAGGCAGGGGTAGAAAATCATTTTCAGTCCAAGGGCAACATTGTCTTGTGGGCAGCCTTCTGTGGGCCATGGCCACGCTGGGTGGGGTCTGAGTGAAGGTTGGGTGGAGCAATGAGTGCAATTTTTACCTCTGCATGGTAGGCTGAGATTTCTGTGTACCTCTTTCCGCACAGGCAAGGCCTCTTTTCACAGTTCAAGAGCACATTCCATCCAGGCAAAAGCACTAAAGATGTGAAATGGTGCCACTAGCAAATGATGTGGCCTATGGAGAGAATGCAGCCTGGGCACAGTCCCAGGGCCAACAGAGAGGCCTGGAGGGGCACGCTTAGCACCTGGGCTTGAGGTTCTCCACCCTGGTCTAGAGCAGGCTTCCTCAACTTTGTGTTCCCAGATGTTGCTGCACTTCAACTACCATCATCTCATCTACTGGCCAAGAGTTGTAAGGCCAACAACGTCTGGAAACTCAATGTTGATCTAAGACCTTTGACCTCCAGATATTACTGAAGTACCGCTCCCGTTGTCACTGGTTGTGCTTACAGTTTGGCAATATCCTGAGGGCCAAAGATTCCCACTCCTAGCCCATGGCATGGTCTGAAGGAACATGACCTAGTTCTACTGCTGAAGCCATGGAGGAGTCCAGAAACCTTCTGAGATGGAACACTGTGGGAACCCAATGCAAGCTGCTCCGAGCAGTACAAAAAGGGGAAATATAAGGCTGCAAGTTTATGCATACTTTTGTGGGAGTAAAGTCCTTTGTAAATTATAGAATATATTCTCAAGTAAACGTGTAGGATTGCACTGAACATCAATGAATATGTCCCTTTAAAAAAACACCACCACTTTGCTTTTCTTAGCCCTGCCAAAATCCTGCCTTTCCTTCAGATTAACATCCACAAAAAATAAAAATAGGGACGTCTATTTACCTGGTTAGCAAAGAGTAAATGGCAAATGGTGGGATCCTCTTCATCCTTCATGATAGCCCGAATGAGCTGCAACATGGGGGTAATTCCTTTAGAGAAGGGGGGAGGGGAGGAAAACCAGCCACAGCAGAGTCAAACAAAGAAAGCCACCTCTTAGAGAACACAAACAAACTCAATACACAAAAGACAGCAAACAATCTATTTTGTACCTGTTCCACCTGCTATCATCCCCACATATTTGACATGTTTAAGAACCGGTTCAGATTTCTTTTCAGGACGAATAGCAAATACGCCTGTGGAAACATCAAGAAAGGACATAAACAGTGGTTTTATGGCTAGAAATAGAAGTTGATAAGAGCCACAATTTCCCCACCCTTAACTAGGAGACTGGAGGAAGAAAACCTTGTCCTAGACATGTGCAACCTGTGCCCCCCCAATGCTGTTACACAGAAACTCCCATCAGCACCAGTGAGCACGGTCAATGGCCAGGGATAATGAGAGCGGGAGTCTAACAACATCTAGAGACCCCGTTGCCTCAGCAGAATAGGTAGAGACCCTCTACTACCCTCTATGAGAAAATAAACATAAGCTAGGGAAAATACTAATCTTGAGAGCTGCCAACCGATTCATTAGCTAAGCCCCATCCAGTGCAAGAAAAGGCAGAGTGAGAGGAAGAGTGAAGGCAGCTGCGAGAATTCCCATTAGAATCCACAATTCTTGTGGTGGTTTACTTACTACTGAAATCCCTGTGCCTTTCTACTAGAGAGGCTGCATGAAGGCACAGCGCTACCAGGGTTTAGCACTGAGAGAACGTGCTGTAGCAGGAACTGGGCCCATGCGCTCTCTCCCCCTCCATGTGCAAGAATATGAAAGATGCCTCCTTGCGCGCCTGTTTCTGGCCACTCCTGTTGACACGTTGGTGCCAAACATATTGCTGCTTTCCTTTGGACCACATCAGCAAGGCCAAGAGGGAGGCAGCCCAGGACCCCCAGACACAATGCCCAGGCTTGGTCCCCAAAGAGGTCACTTCAGGGCTGCTAATGGAACAGTTTGACTTTGCCCGCGGAGGCGCACTCCATTGTCTCCCGAGACAGAGAGATGCCAACAACATCATGGCTTGTAATAATACCAGCCTTATTCTGAACCAGGAAACTGATTACATAGCTTCTGCTACGGCTGGCAAGTTCTTTCCTTGCAAGCAAGCAAGGGGAGGAGACACATTTTAGCTCAAGACACCACAGCACATGAGCACTAAATTGTGCTTCAGTTATCTGAAAGCGACCAGAGTTCCTGTGGTAACTATGCTTTGATTTAGGAAGCAGATGTTCTTAATCCCTGTTCAGAATGACTAAAGTAATGACTGAAGTATTGCTGTGTGCCATTATATGCACATTGGCCCCATTCAGAGTATCAAATGGGCTCCAGTGCGCACAAGGAACTCCCTGCAGGAGAGTTAGAAGTCTGTAACAAACGGCACCTGCAGCGCACACCCCACACGACCCTATTCTGCACGTCTTCCATCGTGTAGGAAACCCTCTAACTTTCTTTCCATCTGACCAAATTATCCAGTTTACTCTGCTGCTAGTACAAAGTGTTTGGTTTTTCCTTTTCTTTTAAATGCTTGTTTATTGTTTTGCCGGCTTTCCTTAAGAAAGCAACTGGTGTCTTATTCCACTTAAGAGAAAGCTAGGAACAGGACAGAGTCGGGCCAGCCAGCAAGATACTGCATGACTCTTAGCTTTCATCCGTCTCAGCCAGCTTTGTCAATGGTCAGGGATAATGGGAGTTGGAGTTCCAACAACATCTGAAGTGCAACATGTGGGTAACCCATGGAATATACGGAACGAGATGTTTCCTATGAGCCCATGCTATTTATAAAAACCAGTCTTGCCTTTCCCCTTGTAGACAAGCAATCCACTGGGTCCACGAAACTCAATCGTGTCATTTATTTTTAGGTTTTCCAAGTACTGAGACATCTTCCCTCCATCAGGGAATTTTGGGTGAACTCCTTTGAAATATATCTATTTAAAAGAGAGAGAATAGAAAAATGATAGCTTTAAAACAAAAAACAATAGTAGTGTATATATCAGATTAGTTTCAGATTTTCTATGTGGGCAATGCAAGGATAAGAAACATGTCTCACTTCACACCCTTTCCAAATCTAGACTAATTATCAACAGAGTTTCACCACCACACTGCAAGCATATGGCTGTACAGGGGCCCAACGTGAGGGTTTCAAATGAGACTGAATACTTCACGGAGTGTCACGAGATACTTCAAATTTTGTTGCTTTATTGCCCTGAAGCGATCATTCTCAACAGCCATTACCTTCACAACAAGATCCACATAACCTTTGTCATCATCGCTGGTGACTGGTGTGTAGGGCCTGATCACCAGATTCCCATCGATTCTTGCAGAGAGGTAGATGTGCTGCCCTAGAGGTAAATTAGTAAGTTTAAAAAATACATCATATTTTGAAGAGACTGAAGAACATGCTTACATTTTCCTTGATATTGGCATCCCTTTAGCATACTTGGTACCACTCTATGCTCTCCCAAAATACTATGTTAAGTTATGGCCGTTCTAGATCAAATCAGCAAATGCATCTGAGAGCTTCATTTTTCTTAAAAAATGATCCAAAACTAAAGATTTCCCAACTCACCCTCTCCACATTTGCAATTTAACATCTACAGTATAAAGCCAGCTCAATAATTTATTGTACTTCTTTCCTACACATAGAATTCAGGAACTTAGGCTGCAATCCTACACTTGCTTACCTGGGAGTTAAGTCCCACTGAATGCAATGGGTCTTACTTCTCAGTAGACATGTATAGGTTTGTGCTACCAGAGTGGCCCACATCTGCACTGAGCCCCAAGGGGGTCTCCTACCCAGGTGTGCACAAGGCACAAGAACTAAACTATGTACCTTGAGACTATTCTCTGGCTCTTCTAACACTTTCCCAAGGTTCTCAGGAGTATCAACTAAACAGAATGTGACCTGTGGACCAACAGTTGACTCTTCTTGTTTTATGGTATTCAGAATGGATAACTTTCCCCATGGTCATACTACACATCAATAACACAAAGTACTATCTATATGGTCATACCTATTCTCATGGTTGATATTAACAAGTTAGACTAACAAGTGGCTTTGTTGTGATACTTATGCTTTCTGCAAGCTCAGATGTTAGAGCTTGCTCCCAGGTGGTAAGAGAGGTGGACGAACAGTACAACTGTTCTCCTGGACAAATCATCCGAACACCAGAGAAGGAAAAGAAATTGTGTTGCAACTAGAGACAGAGGGGCTATAGTAAACCAACTCATCAAGTCCTTAAACCAGCTGTGTGAAGACAATGGACACCACAGTACCATTCTGCCTTTGCCACCACTTGTGTCCCAAGAGCAAGGTGGGGGCATCTTTCCGATTAGCTAAATGTATAAAAGACTCAATTTCTCCAGGAGAAAAACACTGATCCGTGAAGAATCAGGAATGTTGAAAGCTACTTTTCTTGCACTTGTTGGCATTGCCTTCTGACTTTTTCTCCTTCCATATTGAAACTAAAGCCATGAGCTCCCAGGAGATGTTCCATTCATGTATTGACCAGATCCAGATCTAGCTCAGTGGTGCAGCAGTATTTCTGGGTGCTGTGACAATTTTAAAAGATCATAAATACTTTCCCCCTGAGCTTTACTCCTTCTGCCAATGGAGAAACATAGCCACAGGCTTAGTACAGGAGTGGTTGGGTGGGCTGCTCATAAGGCTCTTTCCTTTCAAAGCCCCACAATTCAACCAAATGTCTTGGGTTCCCATTCTATTCCTCCGCCACACACAAAACCCACAGACAGATGGATAGATAGATGCAGCTGCACTGCAAAAAGTGTTCATTTTCTTCAAATAAAAACATACCAACAGGAAGGCCTAGAATGTGTTCTGGGGACGGCAAGGCAAAACGGAATTTTCTTGTGTCATGACTAATCTCCTGAAAAAGGAACAGCAGGCAAGTCAGTGCTTTGAAGGGAGGCGCAAATGCTTGAGTATTATACATTCTTCTACCGCATATATTTATAACCAAGATAGAGGTAAAAGTAAAGGAAAAGGATCCCTGGATGGTTAAGTCCAGTCAAACTTGTCAATGGGGTGTGGCGCTCATCTCGCTTCAGGCCAAGGGATTTGGTTTGTCAATAGAAGCTTTCTGGGTCATGTGGCCAGCAGGACTAAACCGCTTCTGGCGCAACGGGACACCGTGATGGAAGCCAGAGTGCATGGAAATGCCATTTACCTTCTCACTACAGCAGTACCTATTTATCTACTTGCACTGATGTGCTTTTGAACTGCTAGGTTGGCAGGAGCTGGGACAGAGCAATGGGAGCTCACACTGTTGCGCAGATTCAAACTGCTGACCTTCTGATCAGCAAGCCCAAGATACTCGGTGGTTTAGATGACAGCGCCAAGCCATGTTTCAGAACTGCCTGTTTGCTTAGAAAATAAACACGCATGCTTATAAGGAGAGTGGGAGACACACACTTCGGTTTTCCATGGATTGTTTGGGAATCCTGGTACATTTTGTTCTCTATCTTAACTTGGCAGGGGGAGAAGAGGAAAAATTGAGCTATGGCGACTATTACCTCTTTGTCAATCAGTCGCAGAGCATATTTCACATCTGGATTCTCCAGGGTAATGGGAGGCAGAGGCTTAGAGAAAATTCTCATGATCAAGCTGATCACGAAGTATACTGGAGAGAGTGCAACTCTTCCCAACTGCAACACAAAAAGGGAAAGGACAGTATCACTACCATGACTCTAAATATGAACAGCCCACGTCAGTAAACATTTATGAGCAAAATAAAAAATAAAATAGCAAGTAACATCACATTAGCAGCATAATATCACAAAGCAATACATAAGATATTAAATACATTATAATTTTCCTTTTAAAACAACAGTTCAACTAATCTTTATTTTCCTGAGGGAAAAAGTAAAATATAGTACCTCTGTACTGTAAAGGTAAGTGGTTTTTAGAGTCCTGTGCTTCACATCCACTACTCCACAAACCCTTGCAATAACCCCATGAGTTGTGCCAATATTTGGAACATGAAAAATGGAGGGATATATAAAGCCACATAGTGAACTTGTGGCCAAGGGGATTTCCCAGCTCACACTCAAACATTCTGGTAAATATTACGATGCTAACAACACACACAAATGTAATTTGTTCTGCAGGTTTCCTACTTCTAACAGGTGCCTGGGTTTAGCTGGCCAAGAGCACATAGGAGATTTATGGCATTTTAAAATATTTGCTTTATTTACAAATACCTATCTCCCTACGTACCTACCTATATACATTGAGAGGGAGAGGGAATGAGAATGAAAATGCTAGCACAAATGGAAGCAAACAGGAGATCCACCACCGCACACCAAATCCCAAGGTACATACTGCTAATTCATAGCTGTTTGATTCTTCCCAATCACCAGCCCTTGTTTTTCACATACATCCACACCTGATCCCTCCCTGTGGCGCAATGTGTGTGCATGCTGCATATCTTCCCAACTGATATTTCATACACATAGATTTCCTAACTATTAGGCTATTTATGGGCTATGAACCAGCAGTTTGCCTTAAAAAACAAATGGTGGATGTAATTATGCAGCCATGATGTAAATATGTCAAACACAGGTCTTGTTTGTGTTAACTAGGACTTTTGCTTTTCTGTGCCAGAATCAGAGCCAAGGGTCTAGAAATGATCAAAACTTCTTAAGCACAAACAAACATTATGGACTTGCACAATACAAAAGGATGCAATTAAAAATAACTTGGGTGGATTTAATAAATAATAATAATAATAATAATAATAATAATAATAATAGAATACAGCTCATACAGGATGAGAAGTGAAGCTGCATGTGACTCGATCACAGTATCTAACTGCTAAGTTGTATGAATATCAAGTGTTAGATATCTGTGCATCATGTAACAAGCTGCTCATTATTATCCATAATTCAGTAACCAGTTTTATAACAAGGCCACTCTGAGGGAAAGATGCACAGTGGTCAAGACTGTATCTCCATCTGCTCAGGTGGACTGACACCATGTCCTGCCACAATTGCTCATGGCTGGCCCAAGACATTTCAGCACCTGAGATGAACCACAGAATGATTCCCACCTCCCCACCAGGGAAGAAGTGTGAGTGAAGATCTACATCAGGCACAAAGGGGAATAAAGATCCACATCAGGATCTGCTGCCCCTATGGATTCTGCCACTTGAGATGGCTACCTCACCTTGCCTCATGGGTGGGCTGACCCTGCCATTGCTCTCCTCTGAAGAAGTAATTTGAGGGCTAGCAGGCATTTCTCAGAGGATGAGATCTGGACTTGGAGCCTAGAGCGGCTGGGCTGCTCCAACTGCTTTCCACTCTTCATTCCAAGGGAAGCTCTTTATCAGATTTGGCTGAGTGACTCTTGAACATTATACATGATGGCAACTTATCTAACTGCATGGTTGACCTTAGTGGTTTATAATTCCTTATAAGATACTGCTGAGGGGCAGGAGAGATAATCTGTCATCATGAAAGGAGAGAAAGCAAAGGAACTAGAGAATATCCCCACATACAACAGACAAAATTCTTGGAATGATTTGTTTAAAGGTGCTGCAGATTTAGTATTCCTAAAAAAACAACCCAAAACATTTCTAAACAATGACCCTGAAGCTCAGTATCTTGCAATATTTCATTCTCCCAGTTCATCTAATAGAAGATAATTTTCTTCTCTTCTATATCTGCCCTGGTGTGGGGCCAATACGGTTTCAAGTGGCCCAATTTATTTTATATAAGATTATTTTAACTGTGGGTGCAGCGTTGAAGACAGGACCTTGGAATCACCACATTCAAAGCCCTGTTCTCGTCAGAGGTCTTCACACACCTTTATCTAGTTGTACAGTTATCTTTGACATATACATCCACAAATGCAATGCTGAACTATATCCCGGTATTATGGAACCTCACTGAGGGACATGGAAATTGTGGCAAAGTGACAGACAATTCAATACTGGAAAGTGCATCTTGCACCACTATTGTACAGTGGTTGGAGGGCCTATAAAGACTGGTCCATATGCATAGGCAGCAGGGCGAGTCCTGATATTTGGACTGCATACACAGACATTCCTGCATAAACTGGTCTTGAGCAATGTGCTTGAGCTTCACTGTCTAAGGTGATTTGTCAGATCTGGCGGCTAGAGAAATAACCCTCAGCTTCCCTCCTTTTCCCTCTTACTGTTTGTGTCCATATGGAGCTGCCTTTCTCAACATTAAATCCAGCGTCAAAAACTCCCGAGGCACCAGGCACATTTTGTACCGGGCCATCAGCCAAGTGACTGCAACCAAGCGAAGATTCCTGGGCACCAGGATGGCGCCTGACGTCTCCACCATCTGGAGCTGCCTGCCTGTGGATCCTTGGATCTGGACTGTGTTCACACACTAAGACCCCACCCAGTTATATTTCACCTGCACAATTGGAATGAATTTCAGGAACCAAAATGCTTTTTCTGTGCAGCCTGAGCAGGAGCAGTGAACGACGTTATAGTTAACTGCTGTCTCTTCACCTACCCCACCCCACTGCCCTGCTCACAATTGTTATGAATGGTCCATGTTGCCATTAAGGAAAAAAAGGTAGGAATAGGCCAATATATATGTGGATCAAGGGACTTTTCTTCTTTAAGTTCTCAAAGCTCTTAACCTGGCTCAAGGTGGTCATCTGAACCAGCCAGATGTTTAAATGAGAATCAATCACAGTCAGTACATCATTTGAAAATAGGACATTTGGCACCCAGCTTCTATATCTGAGTTTCTAACACTGGTTTCTAACACCCAGCTTTTGTTGGACTACAGCTACCATCATCCCTGACCACTGGTCCTGCTAGCTAAGGATGAGGAGAGTTGTAATCCAATAACAGCTGAGTACCTAACACTGAGAAAGGCTGGTATGGAGCATATGAATGACCGTCTTTTGGTTATGATACAGTGGCTCTCTTTCTTTCTAACATGTAAGTGTTGTTCAATACTGAATTAATAATAATAATAATGGAACAGAGCCAACATACCCGTCCTACAGAGTTAGTCCAAAATGATACCGGGGTCAGTGGTATCAAAAATCACTGACAGCAGAAGCTGCACTCCCTCATCCTCCTTTCTACAAAAGGTCATCCATCACGAAAACCAATGCTGATTTGGTTTCAAGCCCAGAGAACCCACAATGGAATGCAGCCAGATCCTATCCAGACATGCTCCCATGACCACCTCAATCACTTTCCCCCAAAAGGAGGTATCTGCAACTGGGTGATAGATGTTATAATCTACTAGGTCCAGAGTCGTTCCCCCTGCCCCTTTATGGAGGCAGCAACTACCCCTTATGCAATGAAGCGCTCACCACCCCCTGGACTGCTCAACCCTCCTCTTTTTGCAAGGCTAGATTTCACTAACTCTGCTGGGCACGGATGTAGAGAGGATGTAGTCAGACACCTAGCCTGCAAGTACTGTACTGCAGAGGGTTGGACTGGATGACCCTTGGGGTCCCTTCCAACTCTACAATTCTATTATTCTACCCTGTACACATCAGGACACATAAGCTGAAATTAATTCCACCAAGTCAGACATATATTTTATCCAGAGCATCATTTGATGGTGCTGAAGCAATAAAAAAAATCAATTTCCTCTAGCCGCAATATCAGATATTCCCAGGGCTAGCACTAATGTTAATTAATCACTAATGCAGGAGGTTCTTAAGGAGAACATAAAAACACTCTTATTCCGAATGCCCCATTGAAAAAGACAAGTTGAGAGCTCTTCTGTCAATATTCTGACTACAGTCTTGTTGACATGGTGCATTTGCGCATAATACTAGTGAACCACCCTATGTTTGTGACCCATTATACTAGATCCTGTCTCTCCCAGAAAACCAGATACAATTTAAATTTTATTACTTTTGTTCTAATCCTTTCCTGCAGGGTGTTTAGGCAACAGACATGGCATCAAATTTTGGGGCTCCAATCCAATACTCCCTGGTCAAAGTAACTTTCTACCCACAATGCTATACTGCCAGAAACTATTACCACCCCACCCCCAACATATTATCATAGTCTCAGAGGCTGGGTCAACCATTTCTCAGGCTAGGGGAGTTGGCACTGCTTTTCTATGCTCTTCCAATCTTACCTTCTCCAGGCTGCCCAAACAGAGCCAACGATACAGCGTCTTCAGCTGTCTTTACCATCTAATTTTAAGCCAGGGGAGCCATTTTGTTTTGTCAACTTTGAATGGCCAATGACTTTTTTATCCATTCTTGCTGGTTTATCCTCTTGTTGAGAGGCTCTCAAACATAAGACATAAGACAGGGAAAGCAGCCAGTGCCACTGGATTAGCACTGCAGCCTGCGTGACAACCAAGGCATGGTTAACATCTTAAGATCCTACTGGAACATCTAAGAGTACAACAAACTGTTGCGTGAGCTGCATGGCTGCTACAAATGGCAGCAATTCTAAATAAGTTTCTCCCCAAGCCCCTTCATTGTGTCTAGCCAGTAAAATGTGTGATATGGCATCACGGCACTTCCAAGTTTCCCTATCTCATTTCATTGGCAGCTGCTTCCAAGGGTGGGAAATCTGAAGCATGTTTTCATGTTACCTTTTAGTTTTTTGTGGGGTCGGGAGGGAGAGAGAAAAAGAAGACAGGAACCATAAATTTCCTGAAAGGACGAGCTGTGCCCTGAAGGAATTTAAGGCCACTATTATTTATTGAACATTAATTAATAACCACTGTTATTCATGGTTTATAGCAATTATTATTAATTTCATATAGGTTGATTTGCTAGTTTTCTTCATTGTTAATTGTGATTTTTAATGCTATTATTTGCCACACATAAAACAAGATAACTCACAACAACCAATTGCTTAAAAACCACCCTGGGCTTCTTGAGTGGATGCTGGATGACAAATACTTCAAACAAACATAAATAAAATACAATTGTGTGAATTTCAAGCACTGCTACTATATTATCTATTTTATGAATGAAGAGGGCATGTGTGTTTTGCTACATGGAATCGGTTTGTTTAAGAGCCTCATGAGATTCCGTTAAAAGAACAAGCAACACATTCCCACCAGCTGAAGTTTCCAGATTAGTAGTTCTTCCTGACCAAGAACCAGTGAAGGAAGCCAAAACACACACGCAATATTTGCATCAGTTTCCTGGAAGACATTCAACATCTCAAACATCAGAATATTATTGTCAAGGAAGAAAAAGCAATATGGCTTCTCTGCCTTCCCTGGGAATTTAGTCTTCTTAAGAAACAAACGCGGAGCAGCTAGCATTCTCTTCTTAAAGCTTTCAACCAGGACCTTGGTCAGCTAAGGATTACTGGCTCCAGCTTTAGGGTGCGGCCCAGCAGCGTGTAGCACATTCAGATTTAGCCCTCTGAGGAATTCAGTCAGACTTGCCAGAGGGAATGGTGGGAAGAAGACGCCAACAATGCCTGCTACGAAAACAGCAAGTTCATCCTGTCAAGCCAACTGCAATAGACCACGTCTTGCAAATGTCTCAAACTGATGCAACCCTCCCAAGTCACTTCTGCAATGGAACCCTTTCTCCTACAAACATGTGGCTAATATCTAGCATGCATAACTGATATATTCTATATATTTTTCTTTCCTTCTATACATCCAGCTGATTACAAAAAGGACACACTTATTTTCAGTGTAATGTAGTCCTCATACAGAGCCATCAATACACAAGGGGACATCAAAGGTGAACAGGGAGCTCAGGCGGATTTGAGGAAGCAAAGGTTACCGACAGGGATACATAAAGATATGAGAGAAAGTCAAAGCAGTCACCAAGAAACAAGAGGAATGTCTCAGGAAAACCCCAAGGTTTGCAGAAGTGCAAGCAAAATGCTAACTAAAGATCAAAACTAATGGGGCAAAAAAGAAAAAGAAAAATAATAATAATAATTTATTATTTATACCCCGCACATCCAGCTGGGTTTCCCAACACATAGCAATGGAGGCTAAGCATGCTCAGCTGCCCCGGAGCACAGTCCTTTGGAAAACGCTGGGGCGAGGGGGTAAGGAACTGGCTGGCTGGAAGTGGCCAGAGAGCAGTGGGAAATAGTCACAAAAGCAGGAGGCTTTAAAATGCTGCTGTTCAGCTGCTGGACATGCCAGAGAGGCTAGCCAAGGTCGACCACAGTGCGAGTTAAGAAAAGAGACTGGAAGGAGCAGTGATCTCCACTCTCTTTCCCTGTTCTCAGCTGCCTTTCTCTTTCACTTTCTTCCACTACTGACTACTTAATGAACAGAGAAAAGGGAAGTAGAAAAATGGAGTGAAACAGGGTAGAGGAAGACACACACAACTACAAGGAAGGCAGAAACAACCATCTCGCTGCCTTGAATAAGTCACTTCCTGAATCATGCTGAAATGCTATTTTAAACGTAGCTAGGAACGAAAGTGAGAGCTGCTGGTAAGAATCAACAGAAAAATCCAAGAGTAGTTGCGACTGAACTTGGAAGGGAGAGGAAGCAGAAAGTTACAAGGAGAGGAGGAGGAGAAATCTGGAAGCCAGGAGTAGGGGGAAAAAGGAAAGGAAAGATGAACAAGAGAGGTGATGGGAAGGGAAGGGGACCAGGTGGGGGTCTGTAGTTTTCTTGAGGAACCCAGAACCGTAGCCCACCAAGAAGACACACTTCCCTTTCATGAAGGTACCACTCCTCCAACACATATATATTGCAACTTCCTGTTTTGGTGTCTCACTCATTTTATACAATTGTGTGACCTAGTTTAGCTTTTTAAAACAAACTGAATAGGAATTTATCTGTATCAGCTGTGAAGTTCAGCAAGCTTCTCTGAACCACTCAAGAGCCCAGAGAGTTAGAATCGAAGCTCTAGGCTGGTGGCCTTCAGGGTAGCATAAGGAGCAAGGCAGGGCAAAAAGAATTGCCATCCAGCCTCTGACACCCCGTCCTAAGCTACGGGCCCCTTCCTGCTCACCTGCCAAGTTCGGTGGGCCCTTTGGGGGCTGCCTGAAGCCTAAGCCCCCAACATGCGGGATGGAAAACTTCGAACCGCATACATGGGAAGCTACAGTGCTCCCTCTGAACTCTGTATTACAGGCTTCCTCAACCTCGGCCCTCCAGATGTTTTGAGACTACAATTCCCATCATCCCTGACCACTGGTCCTGCTACCTAGGGATCAAACGAGTTGTAGGCCCAAAACATCTGAAGGGCCAAGGTTGAGGAAGCCTGCTATATTATATCCACTGCAAGTAGGCTACACAAGGATTTATAACTCTCATGAAAACGCTGTTGTCTCACAATATATATTGGAAAGTTAAACAATACAGAAGTACCCAATTAAATTTCTCCAGACACCACCCGTCTCTTCAACCAAGTTTTAAGTGGTGATGTTAAGTTCTGTTTTGTAGAACTTCAAAAGACACAGAAAATGTTTATGAGAGATGTAAATAATGATAACTCAGTTTCTAGCATAGCGAGACCCAGGCAGAATCAAAACAAAGAGAATTACTGTACTTATATATAAGTGCCCATTTGTTCTATGGAACGTTCAGTCTTAATTTTAATAATTGAGGACAAATATTAACTGGTGATGGCTGAGGAGCTATTTCTCAGAAAATAATTTGCTTGTGGTGTGTTACTGTACAGGCAAAGCAATGTGGCAGCCTTTGGGTGTTGCTGGACCTGACACCTGACCATTGGCCAAGCTGGCTGGAATTGATGGGTGCTGAGTCCACAACATCTGGAGGGCGCCACGTTGATCACCTATCAAGTACCTATACTGAAGATCTGGTAAATGTTTAATTTCAATTAATTAAATGAATACACAAGTAATCCTATGCTCCCTGGGAGGGTGGGCTGAGAGTCTGTAGGATGCCGTGGATCTCCCATTCTATAGTCTGTGGCCTCCCCATTATGCCTGCAGAAACCTTCATGACCAGCACTGTGTTGATGCTCCCCAAAACAGGGTGCTCCAGAACAACCCCGTCAAAAGTCACCAAAAAATATCTGCCCTGGAGCTGATGCACAAACAACCCCTGAGATCAGTTATTAAACCCCACTACTGTGAACTGTGATGGTAACTTTTCCTTCTCTGAATTGTGAAGATTAATACTCTGCCTTCTGACTGAATAATCCTCAATATGATTTATAAGTTGCAATAATACAAAACTGTATGGGAGCATGCAATTCTCTGGGCGATGGATGGAGCCTGGCACCTCTTGATAATCCTCTTGGTGAGCAGGAACCTCAGAGATCTGCAGGTGGATGAAGAGAGTGTGGCTGGGTCCCAAGCCACCATTTGTGCCATTCCTGTATATTGCTTCTTCAGGAGGTAAGAGATAAAATGCCTCTGATCTTGGTCCAACTTGCTCCATAGCCTGACTCTTGGTAAATCTCTGCATTTCATCAAGGTCTGTCCTAATCCTGCTGCCCAAGGCCTCCCAGGGGTTGCACCTGCAAAACATGTGCTCCACCACTTTTCTCCAAGGACTGCAGTGCTTTTGTAAGCAAGATAGTTAGCCTTCTGTTATGCTCTCTTTCCAAAGGCACCAATTATGCGTAAAAAAATTCCACTGAATGTAAATAAGATAATGGCTAAAGTAAGAGCTATTAAAAGCCAGCAAGATGTGCAGCCCTACATTATGCATATTTACTTAAGAGTAAGTGCTACTACATCACTACTGACTCAATGTAGATTTACTTGGGAGTAAAACACAACTTGCCAAGAGTTACTAAACATGTACTGAATCGGGCTATTGATCTTAAACTATTTTTTCTTTAGATCAGGCTGCTGGGGGTACATAATGTTCTCTTAACTGCCTCTCACCAAAATGTAATAATGCAAAATATACTGTCAGCATTATGATGTGTATATATACACATCAAAGTACATTAGGCACACCCCCTTTTTAAAAAAAAAATTCAAAGCTCTATAAATAACTTTAAAAACCATCCATTGCTGATGGGTGGCTAGCAACAGAGAGAAGGCAAAAAGCTTTTTCTATTCCAGTGTGGTGATCGCCAGGAAAGTCCGGAGTGTTTTTCCTATGAGTTGTCAAAGCACGATGAGTCACAAACCCCGCCCTGCAAGCTTCGCAGCAGCTGATAGAATAGGCCTCTCTCTGCATACCGGCCTGCTCTCGATCTCCCCCCCCCCCCAACTATTTTTTCTCTTTCTTAATGCACTCACGAGGTGCGCGCGCGCGGGGGATCTCTCCCTCCTTCCGCCCCCCTTGCAAACGCGCAGCAACCTCCAAGCAGCGCCTTCTGACCATCTTAGAAACGTGCAGGAAAGGAAGATGCTGCCCTCCGACTTGTTCTGCGTGCAAGGCGCCCAGGCGAGCCCCTTGCAAAAGGCGCTGCGCGTCCGCAAAGGGGAACCTGCAGCGCTGGGCGCCCGCGGCGGGGCAGGAAGAGGCGCGCGCCCCGGGCTGCCATTTGCAGAGGGCGCGCCCTGCCTCGGCCGGTCCCCGGGGAGCAGCGCTGTGCAAGGCGCGGGAGAAAGGGAGGCGGCCGGGTACTCACGGTGCTCAGATAGGCCCCCATGGCTTCCTCCGGGTCCCGCCGCCTCAGCCGCCAGACGCAACGCAGCGGGGCAAAGAGCGCAGCCCAGAAACCTCTCGCCCGCCCCCGCCCCCGCGCGCGCACCGCCTCCTTTCGCGCGCTCATTGGCCTCGGAGGCCCGTCCATCACAAGGATGTCACAGCCTGACTCGCTGGGAAGAAGCGGTGGGCGGGGTTTGGATACCGACTGCGCCTTGATTTGTGGAGGAGCCAGAGGGAGCTCTTTACGCATGGAAAGAAGGGAGGGAGGGAGGGCCCGCTGAGCAGGGGCTGCTGGGAGTTGGAGTCCGCTACCTGAATTAGGGGGCGCTGTGGGTTAAACCCCAGAGCCTAGGACTTGCCGATCAGAAGGTCGGTGGTTTGAATCCCCGCGATGGGGTGAGCTCCCGTTGTTCGGTCTCAGCTCCTGCCAACCCAGCAGTTCAAAAGCACGTCAAAGTGCAAGTAGATCAATAGCTACCACTCTAGCGGGAAGGTAAGTGGCATTTCCATGCGCTCTGGTTTGCCAGAAGCGGCTTAGTCCTGCTGGCCACATGACCCAGAAGCTGTACGCCGACTCCCTCGGCAATAAAGCAAGATGAGCGCCACAACCCCAGAGTCGGTCACAACTGGACCTAATGGTCAGGGGTCCCTTTATTTTTTTACCTGAATCAGAGTGCACACCTCAGTTTTATGCAATGTTTCATTCAGAAATAAGTGCCACTCTCTGAAGAAAGTTGTCACAACTAACTTCATTATGTTATGTTATATGTATATTCATAAGAAGGGTGGTGCACAACATAAATGTACAAAATGAGAACACAAAGTACATAAAACAAGAACAAAAACAAACCAATAACCCCACCTCCCCCACAACACATATAAAATGCAGTAGAATGTTAATCAGCCAAAGGCCTGGCTAAAGAGGGATGCTTATATCTGGCATCTAAAGGTGCCAGGCAAACCTCCCTGGGGAGAGCATTCCACAAGTGGGGGGCCACCACAGAAAAGGCCTGTTCTCCTGTTGCCACCCTCCAGACCTCATGTGGAGGAGGCACACAAAGGAGCGTCTCAGAGGATGCTCACAGGGTCCAGGCAGGTGCATATGGAAAGAGGTGGTCCTTGAGGTATTCGGTTCTGAGCCATTTAAGGCTTTATAAGCCAAAATCAGCACTTTGGACTGGGCCCGGAAACTACTTGGTTGCAGGTGCAGATGGACCAGGATTGGTGTCATATGCTCAAACCATCTTGCCCCAGAGAGCAACCTGGCCGCTGAATTCTGCACCAGCAGAAGTTTCGAACCATATTCAGAGGCAGCTCCACATATAATGCGTTTCAGTAGTCTGACCTAGAGGTTACCAGAGCAGAGGCAACAGAAGTTGGGCTGTCCCTGTCCAGATAGAGATGCAGCTGGGCCAGCAGCTGAAGCTAATGGAAGGCACTCTGGGCCACTGAGGCAACCTGAGCCTCAGGCGACGAGGATGTATACATATATGATATTACTTATTTCCCTGACAGGCTCCAAGCAGCTTACAGATATAAAAATAAGAACTGCCAAAAACATTCACATTAAAAAAATATCTATGCATGACGTAGCTAAAGAAAAGGTTTTCTTCCTGTCGCGTAACACTAAAACTCATGGACATTTCAACAAAGCTGAATGCTGGAAGATTTGGGACAGATAAAAGAAAGCGTTTCTTCATGATAGCCGGGAGTTCAAGGTGAACCATAGGGCTTTCCCATAGTCCTTTGTAAACGTCCTCATGTGGAAAAGTTAACAGTGGGCTTTCACATGCCCCCGCCCTTGCATTTTTCCAAGCTTTCTGAAAATGGCCTCATGGGCCCAATGGAGGCCATATTTGTTCTGTTGGTCTGAGGTTCCCCACTCCTGACTTACAAGTTGCTTATAGGGCAAGCTTCTGTCACTTACAGGTCAGGGAAAGGATTCCTCCCTCCTCTTGCAGTGATAGTCTGCTGTTCTGACTCATGAACTAGCTCACCTGCAGCCCTCCTGTTAAAGTCAGTATTGCCGGGCACCTAAATTCATGCTACTTCTGTTCAAGCCAACCCCTGGAGACATCTGTCTTTGATATGCCTCCTCCTTATTGTCACCTGCCTTCTCTTAATGAGCAAGCAATGGCCAGGCTTAGGAGAAGGAGGGGGGCTGTCTGTGGTTCTCTCCACACTTGACCAGTGAATGGGCAGAGGAGGTGGACTGACCCACCTGTTGAGTATGGCTATTGTGAAGACACTAGTCAAAGTGCCTTCTTAAAACATTTTCAGTCATATGAATCACCACTAGATGTCACTTATTTCCCAATAATACAAAAATAGTTTTCAATGGAACCACATAACAGACCTACAATTTAAAACTTTGTAAGTGATGCTGATCAGCTTTTTGAATGTAAAAAGATGTTAAACAATTACTCCTTACTAATAAACTTTCAATATAAAAAATGAAATAAAGCTCTAAACCAAAATAATCTTAACCCTACATATGTAAATAATATACAGTAAGCCTGCAATTTACACGGGGGTTACGTGTTTATGGAAGACAATCTTACTCGGCTACGAGTGATCGCCAAAGAAGAAGACATTTAGGAGATCATGCCTAAAATCAAAATTGCATATAATCAAAACATACTGAGCTCAATAGTGCAATTATGAAAGTTCCTCCCCCAAATGCCTGCCCCTCGCCCCCCTTTTCAATCCCCGCCCCCCCCATCTGTCTCTCTTTTTGCCAAGCACATAAAGCTGAATGTGCACACATTAAATGCATGTAAATTGTGGGCTTACTATAGCTTAATCATCATAATAGTATTTAAGATTCATTTCAATATGATTGCTATTATTATGTTATATATATACAGTGGTACCTCGGGTTAAGTACTTAATTCGTTCCAGAGGTCCATTCTTAACCTGAAACTGTTCTTAACCTGAAGCACCACTTTAGCAAATGGGGCCTCCTGCTGCCACCGCGCCGCCGGAGCACAATTTCTGTTCTTATCCTGAAGCAAAGTTCTTAACCTGAAGCACTATTTCTGGTTTAGTGGAGTCTGTAACCTGAAGCGTATGTAACCCGAGGTACCACTGTACATAATCCAGTTTGCAAACTAGCCTTAAATTTTTGTTGTCAATGTTTCAGAACAAAGGATTTATAGATGTCCACCCTAATTATAGACCAATTAAGTGAGAACACTGATTATTCATTAAACAATATGTGATTGGACAAGCAATGTGCCACCAGGAAGGATGTCACTTCACTTCTCATCTGACTCACATTGTTTAAACTTCCTCAAGGTTTGTCCAATTAATTAACAATTCAGAGCAAGAACCGTAACACTTCTTTTTCCCAGTTGGCTATGTGGTATTGCAAAACTAGAACGGCACATTCTAGGCTTATGTCTGTATTAGGAGTCTGGCCACTTCTTTTCCAGGAGCAGTCTTGGGAGGGAGTGATTTGGAGTGGTGCGTTTGCTATAGGTGTGGGGAGGAGGGCTGCTGCTTAACCAGCATTTTCAGGCCCTCCACGTGTCCCTATTGTCAAGGGACAGTTCCGGATTTACAGAAGCCATCCCAGTTTCTGATTTGACCACGGAATGTCCCACTTTTCCTTAGGATGTCCCTATTTTCATCAGAGAAATGTTGGGGGGTATGGAGTTATGCAATCACCAAGCCAAGGAGTTTGGTAACTATACAACCTTTAGAAGACATTTGAAGGCAGCCCTGTATAGGGAAGTTTTTATAATGCTTAATTTTTAAATGTTTTTTTATATGTTGGAAGCCACCTAGAGTAATAAAAAATATTATTATTATTATTGAATAGAATGTCCCTATTTTCATCAGCGAAATGTTGGATGGTATGCATTTTGAATACTATGGTGTGGAGAGGGAGGCATTCAAACTGGAGTAGAGATTTGGAGCAGATAGATGACAAGTTGAGGAACGCATTTGGCACTACCACACCCAAAGCATCTTAAGAGCATTCTGTCCCCCTTCAAATGTCTCTTAAAAAGTGGCTGTTGGACTTTGGAATTTCTGGAGTCAAGGGAGCTGGATAAGGCTAAGGTTGCAATGCTATGCATAGTTATGTGGGAGCAAGCTCCTGGGGGGGGGCTTTCTTCCAAGGAAACCTACATAGGATTCCTCAGCATGAGGACAGAGATAAAGGTCTGAAAATTGAAACGAAGTGCACAACCCATTCGAACTGCTCAGCCATGTTGAATAAGCCAAATGGATGAACTTTGCTTGGATTACTGTATAGCACAGACTGTTTGCTCATTTGTAATAAGTATATTTCAAAAGCATTGCTGGTTGGAAACTTCCAGAGAGGAAAAAACTGTTTTTCTCTCAACACATAGAATCTTCACTTTCTTCAAGTACAAACTGCACCACACACCTCAGAAGAGGAAAGGAAAATACTGCCAATGGGTACAGTTCAAAGGCCCATCAAAAGAAAAGTTGTTTTCACAGATACCTTTTTTTTGTTAGCTATAACTACTGAGGCTGCAGTTCTGTACACATTTTCCAAGGGCTTACTTCTGAGTAGACATGTAAAGGGGTGCATGGTAAACCAGCAAAGTGAGTCAACAGAGTAAGAGAATAATTAACCAAGTGAGTACACATGCAAAGCAGGGAAGAGGGACCTGCAGATGTTGGTGGACTACAATTCCCATCATCCCTGACTATTGGCTGTACTGGCTGGGGCTGTAAGCACTGGTTTCTAGGCATAGCTGTCAACTGTCCCTTATTTGGCGGGAAACTCCCTTATCCCAGCGCCATTTCCCGCTGCTGTCCCAGATTGATGAAGTCCCTTAAATTTCCCGGGTTTCAAAGGAAGCAGCTCCTTGGCCCCCGGGAGCCCCTCCACGCTGGGATGGGTGGGAGCCTCGGGCCCTTCCGCCGCCATCCTCCTCACGGCCGCCGAACTGAGTGTCTCTGCCCGGGGCCTCCCCTCTGCCCGTCACCGCCACTCCCGCTAGGCCGTCCTGCGGCTGTGCCGCCGAAGGACCCGAATGAGATGGGCAGCCTGGTTGGTCTATGAATTGCTGAGGAGCCTTGAGAGGAGAGCGAGGGCAACCATAGAGAAAGCAGTTCAGAGAGAGGAGGAGGAGGCAGGTGTTCCAAGGGCTAACCATAGCGGGGGAAAGCGGAGGAAGGACTGCAAGCACTTCTCCCATAGATTTGTAGTGGTAGACTAGCATATATGGTCTGATCTACAGGTTTACTTCGGGCGCTATTCTCCCCCCCTCCTCCCGCCCCACCTGATGGAACTGAGAGCTGCAGATGGAGCAGGAGAGAAAAGATACAGAACTGCAGCAGCATCTTCGTAGCTTGGACTTTGTTTTGCGTGAAAAGTGGTTGCTGCTTGTAGTTATTTAATTGCAGTGTTTCATCAGCTGGTGTCTTGAGCAGCAACCTCTGGAAACGAAGGGCTAAAAACCGGCGCTGCTCTCCAAAATTATCTGGTCCCTTTTAACTTCATATTTCAGCTGGTTGACTAAAATCCCTTATTTTGGCTGCTGATCCCTTATTTTCGAGGCTGCTGGCCCCTTATTTTCAAATCTGTAAGTTGACAGCTATGTTTCTAGGAGAAGCTTGTTTAAATAGCTATTGATTGTTTTTGATGGTTGGTGGTAACCACAGTTGTAGTGGTCCAGGGTCATAGCGGGGTGAAGAATGTCACCCTGCGTTTTCAAAGCTGAGGGCAATTTTTGATATCATGGGAGCTCCCCATCTGTGCCACATCAGGGACTCCAATACCTCTGTTTGGTTTTTCTGGTGCAGATCTTTGCCTTACTTTGATCTTAAGGGTTATCCATCCCTTTTTCTATAGCTATGACCATTCCCAGTGGTTGCATGCAGCTGAGAACAAGGAAATATGTTCTTTCTATCACACTAGCTTTTTCAAGCAGACTTAAAAATGTTTGGTAAAGGCTGTAGGCAAAGAAAATTTATACAATTTAATCCCATTGACCTTCTGCTGCTTCACTTTACAATGAACATTTCAAAACTGCTAGCCAATAAAATAGTGATATGACTCCTTAGTCTTCTATTTTCATAATCCTAAAATAATATATTGTTTTAATAAAGTTTGTATATGCAGCTGGCAGTGCCTGTTACAGTGCCTCCCCCAAAAAATTGTTTACAGAGTTGTCTGCATTCTCTAGAATACATTAAACTATTTCATTTTGTATTCACCCATTAAATTTTTATAGAAATGGCTTGCACAAGAAAGATATTAAATCAGTGTGAACTATTGTCTAGCTTATTTTATGTCATTGTTAAATATACATTGAAGAAATGGAGTGACTCACATTTGGATATGTAAGGGCACAGTCAGAGCCGTACTGTTTGATTGGAACGGGGTTATTTTCTTAGGAGTTGAGCCAATTACCCCTTTGCTAATGCAACCCTTAACACATGAACATATGCTGGCATGTATCTGTCTTGAGAGACAATGGAGCACGCTTCCAGGGTGAAGTCAAACTGCTGTGTTAGCAGCACCCAAGTGACCTCCCAGGGTCCAAGCCTGGGCAGTGTGTATGGGGCTCCTAGGCTGCCCAGACGAGCAATACAGTTGGCACCAGCTTGGCTGCAGCAGTTGCTGGAAGGAGGCACGCAAGGCACCATCCAACCATTGTAGGATCTCCCCTCCAGATTTGTGTAGGGTTTACTCAGCCATTTTTTCTCCCAAAGATCTCCTGAAGGCAGCAGAGGTTTAGGAGGAGAGTTTTTCTTCTCCTGGATGGGCTACCTTCCCCGGTTGAAGAGCCCCACCTGCCCCTCACCTCCCTCTACAGCAGAAACTGCCTTCTGGGCCCACAATCTGCCAGGGTCTGTCTTTGCATGCAGGGGAAGTCCTGGGTATCTGGCACTTACATTGCACATATCAGCAGTATTTGATTGCTAAAGATCCTGCTTCTACACATAAGGAAGGAAATAAGCAGCTATTTTCTTTTTAAAAGACATCTGAAGGCAGCCCTGTTTTTAATATTTAATGCTGTATTGTTTTTAACACTTGATTGGAAGCCGCCCAGAGTGGCTGGGGAAACTCAGCCAGATGGGCGGGGCATAAATTAATAATAATAATAATAATAATAATAATAATATTTATTATTATTATTATTATTATTATTAACAATGAAGTAATTGATTCTGCTACTATACTTATCAGGCCTATTATACCTATTATTTCATTATTTTAAAAGTATAAGGAGCTCTTTTACAAAGTTAAATCACTAAGCGGAGAGCAAGACTTATTTGGGGGTATCATGCTTCATTTTGTATTGCTCAAAAAACACCTCATTGATTAAAATCACATTTGTTTCATTATTCATTAATTGTATTCACATTAGTTTTGTTTCACTTGTTTTCTTTTCTTCTTTTTGCTGTGGCAGATATCTCTTGGCAGTCATCATTTTCGTCTTCCAGAGCTCAGATGGAACAGCATGAGAGTCTTAATCTCAAGGGCGTGGGTTTGAACCTCACGTTAGGCGAAATATCCCTGCACTGCGGGGCTTGCACTAGATGCTCCTCATTGTCCCTTCCAACTCTACAATTCTATGATTCTATCAGGGATGGGACATGTGTGGTCCTCCAGATGTTATTGGACTCCAGCTCCCCTCATCATAGCCAGTTGCCAGGGATTATGAGGGCTGCAATCTATCAATATCTACTGTACATAATTCCAGGGCATTCTGGTCAGCCTACTAATAGACCTGATTCAGTGGTCAGTGCCTGAGTTAACGCATATAGTTTACATCAAGCAGAGATGAGCCTTCAGCAAGGTACAATAATGCGTCAGGTGGGGAGAGCAGTGATCCTTGGTGTGAGAAAAGGGTTGTTTTTTAAAAGCATGCATGTGAATTTCTGGTTTTATCTGTGAAATGTTGAAGCAGATTTCATTTAATCTACTATGCTGTTCATTACAGTGCAAGCTCTTAATTTCCACATTATAAAATCTCCTCTTTATCAAGCCTAGCTTGTTGCTTTGATCCGAGAACCAAATCTACAAGTCAAATATGTTTTTGTGTCTACAAAAAAGTTGGTATTTATGACTCTTTTTCTAGACACTGCTCATCAGAAGTATATAGTACAGGTAAGTCACATTGAAACCAGAGATAACTGATCCAAACAACAGGATCCTATTCCATGTAATAACATTTTTCCTCAACTCAGTTGCCTGCTTGGGCTACAGGACAGCCTGTTTTCCCATTTTCAGTGCTTCATCGGATCGATATTTGGATGCATCTCAAAGAACACCACAGCTGCTACCATCTCTCACAGGCTACAGCCAACTAACCACCTAATCTGGAGGCTAGTGATATCGATGTTTTGCTGGAAAACTGGCCTGGAATTTTAGCCACAGAATAGTTCCAAGAGGAGATGCATTGTGAGAGCTTTCTCATAGTCCAATGAACCTATGAAGATGGCACATGAAAGTTAATAACCACGAGTGCCGTTAACTAACCATTATCAAACGACTGCTGGCAACAGAGTATCACAGCCATGACATCTTTATGCCATCTCTGTTGCTACGTTCTATTTTCTCCCAACAACAATATTAAACCCTCCGTTGGGGAAAGCTCATAGAATTCAATCTGTGAATGGTCATATCATTGTCCATTTCTCTTCCAGCAAACAGATTATCTGTAATTGGCAATAGGATAATGGGCAATAGGTTAATGAATAACTCCATATTACATGGAGAACCACTGCCAGTCAGTTTCACCAATACTGTGCTAGATGGACCAATGGCAGCTTAGCACAAGCATAAGCCAACTTTCAATTTTCCAGTGCTTAAAGGCCATGTAGGGGACGCGGGTGGCGCTGTGGGTTAAACCACAGAGCCTAGGACTTGCCGATCAGAAGGTTGGCAGTTTGAATCCCCGCGACGGGGTGAGCTCCCGTTGCTCGGTCCCTGCTCGAGCCCGAACTTCCCCCGACCCCTGCCCCCAGAACAGGCTGCTATCCGCAAGCCTTGGGAGCCCGGCGGGAACTCCCACTGGGCTCCCCAGGCTTGTGGAGATCTGCCCAAAGCCCAGGGCGCGCTACTCAGTGCGCCCCAGGCTTCAGGATGCAGGCTGCTATCCACAAGCCTAGGAAGCACGGCAGGAACTCCCACCGGGCTCCCAGGGCTTGCGGATAGCTTCCTGAAGCCTGGAGAGCGAGAGGGGTCGGTGCGCACCGACCCCTCTTGCTCTCAAGTCTTCAGCGAAAGCCTGCATTCACCCCATAGGACGCACACACATTTCCCCTTCATTTTTGGAGGGGAAAAAGTGCGTCCTATAGGGCGAAAAATACGGTACATCTAGCCTAATCACAAGCAGGCAGTGATGCTCACTGCATGCCAAGATTCCATGAGCCCGTTGCTCCTGAAGCAATGAATAACCAGACAGGATGACAACATATAAATTGGGATTAAATAGGCTACAACTTTATTGATTACAGATGTGAATGGTTTGGCTTAGGCACAGGATACAGCAGTTTCCCATTCCACCCCACCTGCTGGGAGTGCATCTAAGGGTAAACCACATCCCCTGAGAGCGGACGCATGCAACACCTATGGCCGGTTGGGTCTACCCTCCAAGCATGTCTTGCACCTGTGCCTGCCTACAATTGGTCAATCTGCAGGCAGGCTGCAATCCCCATGGCTGTGGCTTGGGCTAGGCTCAATGTTGCCTGTCTAAGGTAAGTGGACTTGTCAATCACTGTGGTTTGTCCTAAGCATCAGGGATATCATTCCTGTTGCACGTTAGTCTATCATTAAAAATACAAAAAACAACAACAGCAATGTTATGCTAAAAACCTGTTTGTGATAGCCATTGACAACTTTCCTTGATGTTTCTAGTTCCCTCAATACAAGCAGCAAAACACATTTATTATTTTGCTGTTTCACATTAGCTAGAAAAACAAACCTTGAAAAGTGTTTGTACTGGATGGAGACAAGATGGTTTCAGAATATTATAATGCTCACTTAACAGTATTTGCAGAATAACTGCCAGAAGGTTCAGGGTTATTCTGATTTAAGAGACTTTGGGGAATGTCTTTTTATGAAAAGTAAACCTGAGCTGCAAAGTTAAGAACTAACTTTGCAGATCGGAATCAGTAGAGAACGCTTTTGGTGTGTATTTGCATTGCAATTGGAAACTGTTGCCTTTCTGTATTGATGATAATTAATGCCTAAAATATGAATATGCTCAGTAATATATTTATTCCTGTGTAATTTTTCTTAGATGATGAAAAATAACTGTCAAAGACATCTCTTGAGATCAGTAACTTTCTTCCCTAGAAAATTGACAACAGCAGGCTTAATTATCTTTGTGTTTTCCAGCGGGACTGAGTAGTTTTACTTGATATTTTATCAACATTTGTTGACTATTTTTTAAAAAAACAACAACTTTGGATTTGATTTTAATCCTGTAATTATAAAGTTTTAGAATGGAAGCACTAGATCAGGCCTGCAGAACTTTCAGTTTGCCAAAAGCCTAGATTACTTGACTAGCTAGGTCCTGCTGCCTACCCGAGACTCTCCTGTTTTGCTCAGGACTCCAAAAAGGGATGTCAAACACCTGGTCTGCCATAGAATAATGGCCTGTATACCACGCAACATCCCCCAGATTACAGCAGGCATTCACACTCAGCCATGCCCAAATAAATTACCTTGTCCTATCTAGGTTTACATCCTGATCAGGGTACCAAAGCACAGCAGCAGATTTAAGTGTATATTCCTAGCTAGATAGAGATCTGTAGCTGAGGCAGTGGTGTCAGGCAGACCCCTTTGAGGAAGGCATTCCTTAACCAAGATGCCTTGGCTGATATAGCCTCCCGCTTGCAGATTGTCTTTATACTTTTGATGGAAAAGGCACACAGAGAAACACCTGGGCAGATGGCCTTACAGAATGGATAAGTTGATAAGGGAATAAGTGTGCACACTTTCTTCTGTTTTTGCATATTTTTATTTATTTTCAGGAATAATATCTAGGTGCAGAATAATAAAAATGTCTTCAACAGTACATATGTTTGTCATTTTTGAGTCAGTAACAGTTATTGAAAAGTTTGATGAATTAAATACATCAACTAACAACAGAAGAAATAACTATTTATCCCGCCCCCACTAGACCACTATTAAAAGTAGGAGAATAGAATTGTAGAGTTGGAAGGGACCTCAAGGGTCATCTAGTCCAACTTCCTGCAGTGTAGGACTCTTTCAAGCTCACAAGCCTGAAATTACAAATCTCATGCTTCTCCCACTATGCCACTGCTTCTACTTCCTAATCACTTAACCATAACTGACCACCAAGAGGATTTTTGTGAGATATATGCAAGGTAGTCAAACCAATAACGCATGTTTGCTAGATAGACACATGATAGGAGCTGAAGCTCACAGAGCTAGAGAGAACCCTGTGAGCCACTCCCTTCAGATGAAGGGTGGTACAGTGGTACCTTGGTTTTCGATCATCTCGGAAGTTGAAAACCTGGAAGGAACTGCTTCGATTTTCGAACACTTTTTGGAAGCTGAACATGCCACATTGTTACCGTATTGAGTTTTCCAGACGTGGACTTCCTGTTTCCTGCCGAGGGAAATGGCTGCCTCCCATGAGATCGGACCCCCAGTCGTGCCAGAAATTCAGGGCTAATATGAGGGTAATTAGTCCAGCCAACCCCTCCAGGGTAGAAGGGGGCTGTTTCACCCACAGACCGTCCGTTATCTGTCACCCACAACAAGATGTGTGGGCAGAGGACACTGGGTGCCGAGCCTGGCATGGAAGACAGGGAACTCTCCGGAGTCAATCTCTCGAGCAGGGACACCTGTTTTCTAAAAATAAACAAGATTTGGACTAAAAAAAGGCATGTTCTGGACTGAAGGAAGGCATCTGCTGAACTGCACAGTCACTGGAGCCCAAGCTTTGGACTTCAATGGATTCTCATCGTGGTGTTTTGATTTACGGAGGTGATCGGTATGTTCCTCTCTTATATCTACATTTGCTTTTATATGCTGAACCTCGCTAAGAAAGAACTAATTTTTTTAATGGAGTACAGGTGGACCTCTATCAACAATTAGTTACTTAGCTGCGCAGCCCCTGTTTGATGTTTTAATTGGACTTGACAAAGGTGAAGGAGTGGACAAAATGGCGTTTGTTAGTTGTGCCGCAGAAAGGGAAAAAAGCGAATCCCTCCCTTCTTTAAGGGAGTGGGAAACATTTGTTGGACTGCAAACTGTCAGACTATAATATGGCAAATACTTCACAATATACAGTGCATTTGTTTGCATGTTTTTCTTTATTATGAAAGGCGAAAGAGAAGGTGAAGCTGGTGTCTAGCAGCCCCCACCCAGGGCCCAGAGGGAGGGGATATGCGTGGATCCTGAAAAACCTGATTAATCGCCAAATGGTTTCTAACTGTGAATTATATTCTATAACTTTCATTGCTACATAAACTTTTGAACAGATTGGAACTTTTGGAGATTGGGTGGTGTGCAACAGGACTATTATAC